GTCCCAGGCACAAACATAGCTCCGGGTGCTGCTCCCTGGCAGAGTGGGCAGGTGGAAAATTGGATATCTGAGACTGTACAGGACATGGTCTGAACTTACAGATTTCAGAAAGAGACAAAGAAAACACAAAAATAGTGGTTTTCTGTTGGAGGCTCTAATGTGGTACAATGAGCCAGGTAGTGTCTTGTGGAGCATCTCTGCTAGCATGGGGTTACATCTGTTCTGCTCTGTGCTGGGCAATTTCACAGACCTGTCTGTTGTGCGTGGTGGGAAATTGCTGTTCCAGGAAATACTGAAAATGCTGAGATCTCCCCCTTAGGTTGCAAAAACTCACTAAGCATCCCCAGCCCCAGTTGAAAGGTTCTCATATGTGTGGATATGCATATATGTACACACATACAGTGTATGTAATGGTATATACATATATGGTTCATTGTGAATGATACTGCAGTTTTTTATTGCTGCAGGGAACTGCTCTTATGTGGTAATGTCTACTGAGAGTTAAGTCCATCATTGAGAGCCGTTTTCAGTCTTGATCTTAGGCAGGTTTTAAACCTGGGACCCAGAGGTCGGAAGAAGTGTCCTAAATGGTGACCCTAGCTAACTCTGAATTAGTGTGATGTTCTTGCTGCCCATCTTTCTCTTTCATCCTTCTCCCTGACTGTATTTCGAGACATCTTGTGGAAAAAGGAAAAGTCGTTTCCTTTAGAACTGGCTGTTTTTCTTCTTCCCGTATTTGTTTTTTTCCCCTGCTCTACTCTCAAGTTAAATGGGAAAACAAAGTATGCAGTATTTCTACTGCGGAGTTAAATATTGATGAAGATTAAGATGCATTAAAAGACTGAGGAAATTCATGGGACAGGAATAAAAATAAACAAAACCCAGAAAATTAAAAAAATGTTCAAGTGCATGAATAGCCCTTTATCTTTCTGCCTTCCTGTATGACTTCGAATAAAATGTTTCAGCATCTTGATGCAAACATTCCAGTTTCACTGAGCTGGGGGACAAGGAAGTGCTGTACAGTAACAGTTATGGGGGGAAAATGTTCTGTGCTGTGTTGGTCTTGGACTTCCTCAGAGTATTTTTGTTCCAGATGTTAAACTGTTATTTTTTCAGAAGCCTTGTTAAGTTGCCAGAACATTAGATTTTTTGAAGGATTTTCCGAACCCCAGCTGAGTATCACAACACGCAGGAATCCAAACTTGGACTTGGCTTCGCTGCGCCGCAGCAGCTGCAGAAAATCTGTGCGAAGGCCCTGGTTCGCAGCGCCATCATTGAATGCCCTTATAGGGTAAAACAGGGAGTGAGGGAATTCTGCTCTGCTGCCTCGTACAACGCAGGGATTCACGTCAGCCATTGAGTAACATCGAGTTCCCCAAAGCAGAAATACCACTGCACGCGCTCCGCGGCAGAGGTAGTAGCAGAGCTCCCAAAAGAGCCACAGCAGAGCAGCTCCGGGATGGAAAAAATGACATCTCATCTGCCTCCATCCAGGCAAAGGATAGCCTGCTCAGAGCAGAGGCAAAATCGGTCCCCAGCATGTTTTGTTTCTAGATATAACGGTGCTTTTTTTAGCTGGCGGTGTGTGATGCAGCTGATGGTACATGGCACAGATAGCATGTTGTTGCTTGGCTGAAGTCAAGCGCCACATCCCCTTCCTGCTCACAGCTCCCTGACCAGGGCGCTTGTGCCCCAGCTCCCTGCAGCCCCGCTGCTCACATTCTTTTCAGTCCTTTCATCTAATCCTTATGGAAATAGATGGAAAAAAGTCTTCTAGGCTCTGGTTTGTCTGTTGAGAGTGTTGTCAATAGGAAGCTTCTCTTTACAAATGCAATAAATGTATAAGCACCTTCTACTTTTTACCTGCCTAATTTTTGTCTTTGTGCATTTACAGAAACTCTCAGCTCTGATGTTTTTGCACTTAATGTGTCTTCCTGACCTTCTCTGTACCTCCCTTGCTGCCTTCGTTTCACTTTGAAGGGTCGTCAGCCCATACAAGAGGAAGCCTGTGACTATCCTGGTATTAAAGACAGCATGGAGCTCAATGTGTTCAAATTCCTTTCCCTGACCACAGCCCTCTTTTCACAGGCGAAGTCTGCCAACCGACTCGGGCGCCCCGCTCTTAAGCGGCTTTTTTAGCCAAGCGTATCTGCTTTACCTGGAAAAGGGCTGCTGGAGGATGCCGGAGCGAGGCTCCTGCCTGTGAAGGGAGAGATCCCCAGGCTGCTGGTGGCTGGGGCAGTGCAGGGCTGCCAGGGTGTGTTGCCAAAATGGTAAACAGATTTAGCACGCTGCAGCTTTTCGTTGTCTTGGTTCTGCGCCTGGTCTGTAAGGACCATAGTGCTCTTTGCTGGGAGTGATGTGGGGTCAGAGCACTTGTGTGGTGCCTGGATGGAGCTAAGGGTGGGCCTCCCACCAAGTGCCACTGACTCATCCCCTGCCTTGACAGAGAGATGGAGGACAAGACCTACTGAAAAGATGGCAAAGAAAGGTGGCTAAGATGTCTGTATCTTTAAATGGAGTTTCATTCAGTTAGGTACCAAGTCAGCAGTGGCTTGAGGCAGCTGAAGTAGAAAGGGCAACAGTGTCACCTGTCTTCTGCTGTGAATGTCTCAGGGAAGAGTTGATTAAAAACAGGGTCCGAAATGTGAGATATGAGCAGATGCAATGGATAAGTGGCTATGAAATAGAAATAAAAGCTTTTCAGACCCCTGGAGCTGAAGTTCGTGCCAGAGATCCAAAGGGGCTCGTCACTGTAATGACATTAATATGAGGCTGAGAGAGGGCTGTCTCCATCTCCTGGGACCAGACCCTGTTACTCACATGGGGTTTCACTGTGGTGTCCAGTGTGTTGGACAGGAAAAGCTCTGGTTATGACTCATGGTTGTAGCTGAAAGGGAAGGGCCTGTGACTTATCCTCTGTCACTCGATGCCCTCGCTGTGTGGGACTAATCCCAGCAGTGCTCTTCTGGTTTTGTTTACTTTTTCAATAGTATTTTGTAAAGGATTTGCTTAAGTCTGTTTTTATGTAGGAAGGTATCCACATGAAGAGCATAGACGAAACTCTTCCAAAGCAAAATCTGAAGCTTGGAGTGAAACCGGTCAATGAAGGCAGAAATTTGACTGCAGAAGTACAAAACAATCTTGTCTCTGTGTCAGCCTGGTCTTCAGCTGGGCTTTGGAGGGTGATAAAGCAAGCATAGCAATGCATACGAATGGATATTGGCACTCTCACATGCAGCTTCCCACTATTCCGCTCTGACTCATGGGTTGCAGAGATCTCTCTAAATATTTTAAATGACAGTGGGTCCCACAGCATTAGGTGAGAGATTAAGCCCATCTTTTAGTCAATGTTACTCTGGGTAGACTACCCCCATTAGCATCCTCCAGACTCTTCCTTTTCCAATTTCAGAGCAACGGAAATGGAAGAACTTGTCCCTTATTTACACAAACTGATGGATTTTAGCAGTTTCCTTTGAAAGGTACCATTGTCCTAATTAAGTGAAAACAACTACCAAAAAGTCTCGGTTATTATAAAATAGAGATGTTGCAGTTCAATTGTATTTCCAGACTCGGGCGAGTTGCTGGAATGCATGCAGTTTAACTTTCCTCTATGATATAACAGTTTAAAAGAGATCAGGGTACATTTTACCATAGTGTCTAGCAATGTGAGTTTATTCAGACTTTTGGCAGGCAGTTCTGCACACTCTTGCTAAAACTGTGAATCATCCATTGTTGGCTGATTGCACTCTAGTTGCTAAGAGATCTGTCAAGTGCATACTGAGGCTTAATTCTACATTTGCTCTAAGAAGGGCTAAATGTATTAAATTGGAACATGTCACATCCTTCCTAAACAAGTAATTAAGGCACTGCTATGAGCCTGTCTGATGGAGAGAAGAGAAGGAGCTGGGAACAGCTGGAAGATTTAACTCGGGTTGAAGTTGTTCTCCTCCGTCTGGGAACACTAGACTTATTGCATGTTGGATTTTCACAACCTGATGCATAGTGGAAATAGAAAGGGGAGGGAGACGTTAAAAAAATAGAATTTGCAAAAGGACTTGTTTTTCAGTGTCCTTATATAAACCTCTTAAAATGATCTAATGCTATTTCACAAAGTGTAATTTTTAGTAATGGAAAGACAATACGTCAGTGTTTCCCAAGCCGCCTTGCCCCCCGCCCCCTCCCAAGTGAACTCTGCTCCTCCTCCCAAGTTATCCCATCGCTTGGACATGCTGCGATACATATCACAAATGCTCTGTGCGTTCATTCAAGATCATACCATTTAACGTTCCTGTTTGCTGAGTACACCAGCAAAAGTGGCGAGTAAGTGGTGCTGTGAGATATCTTTAACCACCCTGTCTGTCCTAAATAGCCACAGCTTTTCCAGGGAGGCCTTTTACTACCTGAAAAGAGAAAATTGATCCATTTGTCAGTAGTAAACCAAGTACGTCATCTGTTTCTGTGAGGGTACTCCTGCCTGCATGGGGATGTGTGGCAGCAATTGAAAAAAAAAAAAAGTAAAAGAAAAGTTCTTTAGTCAAGATTTTCAGACTCATCTGTTCCTAAAATTATATCACTTGTGCTGGCATTAGCTGCTGTCTGAGAAGTGCCTTAGTTTCACACCAGGCTCTATCTTCTTTCCCTTTGCTGAACAAGGAGGAAAAGTCGTGAGGTCATGGTTTGTCTGTCAGTGTTTTCTGGTGCCTAGACTAGCGACAGGCTCCCAGGTTCAGCCTCTCACCCATCGTCTTCTCCCAGACCCACGCTATCCACGTTGGGGGGTGGGCTGCTTGCTGCTGAGCCACGAGTGCCCTCTGCTTGGGCTGCGAAGAAGGGAAAGAGGTTAACACAATCCTTGCTAAGTTATCTGAATGATAAATTATCTTCCTTTTAAAAGTAAAGACATTATCCCTCCATCAACCATAGCTCCTGGTTTGGATTCAGCTTCTAGGCACTGTATTGTGTCAGAGCTTGTTACTGAATTTCTATTCCTTGTGTAGATCTTTGCAGACATGATTGAAGACCTCTATAATCCTCTCTTTGATCAGCGAAACAGATTGAGCTCTGTGAATGCTGCTTTGATTGAAGTTTTGGAAATTATGCCTTCTTCCTGGTGGCTCCTGTCTGAGACCTTGGTAAGAGTTGGATGTTCTCCATGTGGTGGGTGTGGTACTGGAGAGCAGCTGTGGCAGCAGCAGGTGCTGGGATGGTGGATCTCTCTGCCCCTACACAGTGTTCCTCTGGTTGTCTGTCCAAAGGTCTCTCTTTGATCGCAGGGTTGCAGTTAGAGCCCACGTGCAGATGATGATCCTCTGCGGAGGCTCGGTTTTATGAAATGAAACAGATGGCCCATCTTCTGGCTGTGGCCCGAGGTCCTTGTGCCAGCCCCGTAGCCTTCGCAGTGGCCATATGGCGGTGTGGGTTGGTTGCTTGTCCTCTTGTGCTGTCCTCTCTGCCTGTTGCCTGATTTGCTCATGGTTTAGCACTGTCCTGGCTGCTGACCAGTGGTGATTGTGTACCCTCAGGCAATTTGTGTGAAACTTGAGTGACCTTGCACTGATGGGTGTCTGTTTGAAACACACCTATTCAGCAATGATTTCTGTTCTCGTCAGATCTTGAGGTACCTGGGAAAACATGCTATTTGCATACCAGCAGCAGTATCCACTTGCATACATCTTAACCTGGTGCGTCAGTGCTATCACTGCTATTGACTGGAGTTATTATTTCATCTAAAGCTGTACCAGACTAGACAAGATTGACTTTCTGTAAACACGTACTGATTGGTATTAATTATTTTATCCTTCAGTTCCTTCTCTCCTGCCAATCATCTTGCAAATTTTTCTGGCATCCTCATTAGGCTGTGAAGGATTATGAACACTACAGAACTCCTCCTTAGGTGGAAATCATCCTGACATGCTGTTTTAAAAGTGCTTTTTAATGACTGCTGTTTAATGGCCTCCTGTGTTACGGTTGGGATGAAAATTGCTCTCTGTAATAAAATCTGAATATTTAACTGGCTTTTTCCCCATGCAGAGCAGAAATATTTATTCAGTACTTTTACTTTTTTGATGCGAATATTGAGAATTTCACCCTTTCCAGGTAGTAGTGAATCAGCACCACTGTTGCTATTCCTGTTGTTTCTAAGGCAGGGAAGCAAAGGAGGGGAAAAAAAAAGGCCCTTGTGAATCTTGGTTCTGCTATCCAGAGATTTTCACTAGGTCCTTTTGCTTTTATAAGTTCTCTTAATTTCTGATATATTGCCCTAAAAGCACTAAAACTTACTTGTCATAATTGGTTTGGCTTTTATATCTGATTTAATTTCCCCTCTACACCAATTAACTTCGCCATTATCTTTGATCCTTAATCTAGTACAGCATTCTTTCTCACATGTGAGAGCAGACTTTCTGGACATTTAATGACATTTTCTCAAAATTGTTCCTGGGCATCACTTATTTTTAGCATGTGAATTAGCTGCTTAGTGATTTGGCTCAACTATTTCAGCTTTGTGAAAATAAAGCTTTTGAAAATTATTAGTTCTGTATGTTCATTATGTAACTGCTTTTACTTATTAGAGACGTTTTGTCTGTGGTATCTGTCACTTGTTTGGTGCATTTTAGCTTCACTACTTTATCTGTAGCTGAAAGAACATGGAGTGTTATCTGTATTCTGAAAAAAATATCATGCCTTTATAATTATCATGCCTTTATAAATTAATATCCACTAATTGTGCGCTAGATTTTTCAGGAGCATCATCTTTGTGGTCATTGTAACAAGTGGCCTCTGAAGGAGAAGCTGTACTCCTTTAGAGCCAAGTGAGTATTGAAAAGACTTGGTGTGTTCCAGTGCATTGAAGACTTGCTTCCTACTTTCACCCTCTTTCTGATCTGTTACTCTGCTGATGCGGGAAGATGAATGTGGAACAGGCCAAACAAAATATCATATTCCTTCTGCCCTGACCTTGTAGACTCTGTTTCTGCAACTTCTCTTCACTATTCTGTAACTACAGTTATGACTTTATTTTACCAGCCAGAACAGCTAGGAAAACAAGCCTTTCCCTTTGAGCGCTTACCACTTGTAGGACATCAAAAGCATTCAGCAGTAGATAGACAAGTTTTGAAAACAATGCTAACATCTACAAAGAATATAGCAGTAATTATTTTCCCAGATTTCAGCTTTATTGCTTGACCCACGGATCTGTAAGTGCGTGGAGTTATACTAGCCAGCAGAAGACCCTTCCTGCAGAAGAAGCTGAAAATCTCACTGTACAATATGTGCTTGTCTCTGGTCTTCCTAAGTGTAACCCAGTGAGGAGTGAGCGAGGAACTCTTGAGCTGTCTCCCTTACATGGGGGTACATAACTAGCAAGTTTTAGGGCATCTTTATTTTCTCCAGGATGCTTGCAGCAGATGCACTAAGGACTCAGTGCTGCAGTCAAAGGCAGTTGTCCATAGACCAGATACTCATGGCAGTTTCCCCCACACTTGCCACGTGGTGCAGGCGTTGTTTCCCTCCTCCCAGGCTGAATAACATGGCATGTCCACAGCTGAGACCTCTTGGTAGGGCTGGGGCTTGCCTGGCTGGGACTGTGGGCCTCGGGGAGGCTCAGCCACCCTATGCAGCAGTGATGTCCTCCCCAGTGCAGCCAAAAACAGCTGCCAAGTAAATACACAGTTCAGCTCCTTAATGGCAGGAGCACATTAAGTGACTTTTTTAACTTTTTTGTTAACTGGCTGCGGCTTCAGCCCCAAGCTCACCTTTTGTTTGCAGCAGGTCTTGCCGGTACCTGCGGGCTCTGGCATCACCTTTGTCTGGGAGCGCTGTGGTTACAAGCTGTTACCTTACTCTCACACCTCTGACTGTGTTGATAGCACCTGATGAGGTAATAGTTTCCACTTAGTTATAATTTTACAAATTTCAGTATTTCCTTTTGTTTCTGTATTGCGGCGAAGTTATGTAGTACTGTGCAGAGAAAGGAAAAGCCATTAGACTGACTATAAAGTAATACTGGAGTCTGCTGTATCACTGACTCTTGGCTGTTATTCCAGCAGACATGCTCCTTCTTCCCACAGGAGTCTGAAAAAGGACTGCTGTTGCCTTGTGTCCATCAGTCGTGCTGCTGCTGTTTGCTCTGTGCAGTGGTGAGTCTGGGCTGGGCTCCTGCGAGGCAGGTGTCGCTCCAAATGTGGGACCTGTTGGGAGGATCATGGTATCACTGCATCCCCTCGTGCACATGAAGCTGGCAGCAGGCAGGAGGGCAGAGCTCGGATGCTCTGGTATGTAATCCCTTGGGAGCATTGCTGCTGCTCTGCGAAGGGTGCTGGCTTGGATGCAGTGAAAGATGGGCATGTGCTGCCTCCAATACAGGAGATGTAATTAGAAAGTGTAGATCATCAAATTCAATTAGCCCAGTGCAGTCTAGCTGGGAAGAGTTCTTGCTGAATTTACTCCCCCTTCAGAGTAGCTCTTACTAAATAATACCTTAAGTGAAACCCTGATTTCTAAGGCACATTTAAAAGCCTGCAGAGAGATATTTCCCTTCCCAAAGTTAACTGTTTGCAAAACCACGCGATAAGATACTGAAGAAGCCGTGTCTCCATCACAGCTTCCAATGAGTGGGATGCGTGAGTGAAAGGGAGACAGCTCAGTTTGCAAAAGCACACCTTGCTAAAGGAGCGCGATTGGCTTAGGAGTCTCACATCTAAAGCATCTTTCTACTAGAAGTTTAATTAAGTAGAATCTTTGAACAGTTACTTTTTACTTAGCTGTTATTTTGCTTTTCTTTATTTTCCCCCTTGTCCCTGTGCATTACAAATTTCCCTTTAGCTTCCCTTTGTTTAAATCTGCTTGTATTTTATGCATGTACAGGTGGAAGATATTTATACAGTAGCAAAGTGTGGAGTAAGCGAGTTGCAGACATGTCAAGGAAATATATTTCTTCTGAAAATGTAACACCACCACCACTGATTTCACTGCACTTCTAGATGAACATAATATTTAGTTCTATTGAGAGAATATGGTCTCCGGATGTTTAAAGTGTGTAGCAGCTTGTTTGGCAGGGAAAGGAGCAAAACAATGAACCATGTTGCACCTGTTAGTGCTCTGAAAGTGCTCTCCTTACAGGCACGCTGACATTTGCGTTTCTGCATTTATTGTATAAAATGTAAAGGGGCATCTTGAGTAAGGAGGGGGGAGGATCCTGGCTTCGGTGGGGCCAGGATTTCATCCTCTGCTGCCTGTCTAGACCTTATGTCCTGTGTTCAGGTTTGACCCTCCTAATTCCCACTTGCAACTAAATGCTGTCCTACTGGCAAATCTGTGTGGAGTTGTGTTGATGATGCAGGTGATCAAAGCAACAGTGTCCTCTGAGGTTTGAAATTACCATGACTTGAACTTAGAATAAGCACCTAAGCAATTTCTATTTAAAAAAATAAGTAGTATTCAAGTCTAGGTTTTGGTTTTAAACTTGATCAGTACTCATCCATCATTAAGTATTAAAAGGATGTGTGTTGCTGTGCTGCATCTTTACAAAATGTTTTAAATTCTCTATCTTTGTGCCTATATTGCGGAAATTGTTTGGAGGAACTGAGCAAATGTCAATGCACTGAAACTCATGTAAACTTCAAGGTAATTAAATGCAGGGAGGCCTTAAAGGGGTTCCTTTGGCTTGTGTTTTGTTCATATTTGTTGCGTAGATTGGAGTTTTTGCGTGCCCTTTTTGTCTGGATGAAACATCACTGTGTTGAAGGGTGGATGAAGAGAGGAAACAGCCAAGCATTTAGATGTCTGCCATAGACAAGAAATTCACAATTTTTCAGGACTTTTAGCGATGTATCACCCATATCCAAAGTTGGCGCTCAATCATGGGGCAGACTGGTGCCTTTCACAGCAGTTCTGATGGCAAGGGTTTGGAGCAGCTTTGGGAAGACTTCCATGCCCCCTCCTCAGGGCACAGTTTTATGTCTGGTGGGTCCTTGTCCCCTCTTGGGCATTAGGACTCAATGCTGTCACGCAGGACGTTTAATCGCCATGAACTTCCTGTTCTACAGCTCTCTGGTAATTTTACTGAGCAACAGTGTCCTGAGTCCCCCGAGAGGTTTGTGAGGGAAGGAGGGGAGGCAGGCTGTGGGCACACTGG